CTTGTTCCATGCCTACCATGGTGTTTTTGTACAGACAGCACTTCAGACAGCAAGTATGCTGTAGTCGGCAATCATTCGTTTTGGTACAGAGTGGGACAAGTAGGGGGTGATGTTGCTGTAGTCGAACGGTGAGACGGACGTGTAGTTCAGTTTTGGGCACGCGTACGGTGCTGCAGGGATTATATATAGGTGTAGTAGTACCTCTTCGGGCTCTTGTACACCTTTTTCTTGCAACGTGTGCGTGTTCTTTAGATCCTCAGATGGCTCCAGCACTTTCGTGACCACGGGCCGAGAGTCTTTGTTGCTAGATTTTGGCATTTAGCAACTGGCATACGGTTTAGTCTAATGTGAAGTCAACAACAACAACAACAACAACTAACTGAAGAAAATGAGGCCAGCACGACTACAGATCCCGCGTCTTGCGCCAGAAAACCCGAAAAAGGAAAAGCTACTGATCATTTACGACATTTTCCCAGTCACCTAGACTATACAGCACATACGTTCCTAGCACACGAGCTACATTCCTCACTTGCTTCTAACTACATACCCGAATATAAAATGTATGCGAATATGCGAATATGAATATATATATAGTCTAGACCTTGCTAGAAAAATGAAAAAAAATCTGGCAGCACCACCAGGCAGCAGGCGGCTCATGCCCGCCACGGCCTACAACCCGCGAATGCGTTGACGGCGGTGCGTTGCATGCTGCGAACTGTCTTCGGAGTGCCCCCAGTTTGCGCGGCATCAGCAGCACCAGCACAGCAATAATAGTAGAACCACCAAGAGTACGAAATGGACGCGTGGCGACCACCTCTGCATGCAAGAGACTGGTCGCCATCGTCGGGGAGTGACTCCATCGGAGATGGGCGGAGTTGTGCACGGAGCGTACCGCAGCGGCGGTGTGTGTGTGTGGCAGGGTGTGTGGTGTGGGAACACGGTGTTGCGTGTGTGTTGGTTAAAAAAAAAGATAAATGTTCAATGTTCCTGGCGTGTGCGTGTTATCACGAACGACGAAATCGTGCGTTGTTTTTAGAAAATTACATACAAGAAGAGTACGTGTACTGGGGAACCCTCGCCTCCTGCGAGAGCTACGGTCCGCATGGATTGGTGACTGAGGCAGTCACCAGAGGCTAGCGTATTCTTCCCTTCTTTGCGATTTGTCGAGGAATGGCAAGTTCGACCGAGCGAAATCAGTCGAACTGAGGTTGGGCGGAGCCTACTCGTGGACCCGCGTCTTTCCCAACCTCGGGAAGTTCCATCAACTGTTCCCAGCAGTTGAGGATCGTTCGAGGAACGATCCTTGGAACGGGAATCTGCCCAGGGATCTCTCTGCGGCGATCCCAGGATCCACTCCCTTCGTGTTGTTGTTGTTGTTGTTTCTCACATTAGCTCTAAAGAAAAAGATTGGGAGCCCGTGGTCTCAAAACCCGGCAAACACGACCCCACGAAGAAACAGAAAAAAATAGGGTACAAAAACCACTCGGAAGAGAAACAAAATGATAGAAAGAAAGACCAGCTACCGCACCAAACGAGAAAGAGCGTCGAGGAGACCGATCAAAATAAAATAAAAGGAGAACGGGGAACGCTTCCCACACCCGCCTACAACGCCGGAGGGTTCCGTGCCGGGTTCCCGCCGACCAGGCATCCCCCGCCCTGCACCACACCCCAGG